CGGCTACAGCCCCTGCATGCCGCCCTGCTCTGCCCTCCTTTCCAACTGGTGAGGCGGGTGTTCTGGCTTTGTCTCCAGCCTCGGCAGCGCGTGTTTCATTAGCGGAGCAGCAGAGGTCCTGACCCCCCCAGTGAGCGGCAGACGGTACAGTAGGCAGGCGGGGGATGAAGCGATGGAGGGATGAGGGGAAAAGAACAGCAAATCCAGATTAGGACCGGGTTTCCCAGGGAGATGGATTCTGGTGGCTGCCTTCCAACTGACACGCAGATGGAGCTGCCCGGCCGAGCCTTTTTTCCCCGGGTTCGGCCTCAAAAACCCGACAAAAAGCACAGAGAAGAGACTCCGGAGTGCTTTCAGCGAACAAAGAAACGGCCGCCGGGCCCGAGGGGAACTTTCAATCCCTTATTTTCCTCTGAGAGCGGAGCAGCTTCCTGACGCAGCCTCTGATCCCGGCGGAGAGGGACCAGTTCAGAGGGAGAGAGCGGCGGCCGACGGGGGAACCGCCACCCACAGAGCTCCGTCCTGCCTCTCCACCCCACAGCGCTCCATCCTCCAGGCTCCAGGGGCGCATTTACGGGAAGAAAAAACTAAACAAAACGCAGCCTTCTCTTCCTCTTCAGGATTCCTAAAACCCCCCGTTTTGACCAGTAGTCCAGGTTGGCGTGAGCAGCCTTACATAAGCGCGGCCGCCCTGCTGGATGTGGGCACTCTGAAGTGATGCTGCCTCCGTCCAGCCCTCACGCCCCCCCCCCCCCGCCCTCCCTCTGCCTTTAGCTCCTCCTGACCCACTTCCCTCCCCCCGTTCTGGGTCTTAATAACTTAACCTGATTAGCGGCCATGTTCGACGACACGCCCCGAGCGGCACGAGTGACATGCTGAACACCCACTGTGCAGCCTGCTGCTCTCTGAGCTTCAGCCCAGACTGAGCCAGGATCAGAGAGCAGCCCGGCGGAGCACTCACATGGAACTTTTTCATCTTTTAATCTGAGAGAAATCCGAGAAAAAACGTCTATCTATCTATCTATCTATCTATCTATCTATCTATCTATCTATCTATCTATCTATCTATCTATCTATCTATCTATCTATCTATCTATCTATCTATCTATCTATCTATCTATCTACCCGCCCCCGCCCCCATTAAATGTGTCCTGTATCCTGCTCTGACGTGGAGATGCTCCTTTAGATCTCAGAGCTGTAAACACAGCTGCTGTTATTCAGCCCCTGTTTACACCCACAGAGGGTCACACCGCCCTCCCCCATCTGGCACATCTGGCTGAGTTAGACCAGCCTCCCTCAAAGCGGGAGCTCCACTTCTTCTCGCAGCCCCTCCTTCTGCCAGGCCGGCGCTGCTCATCGGTTGGCTCTGGTCAGAGGTCAGATGTAGGCGCTAGCCGTCAAGCCTGCACCAGCGTCCGGCACGCTCTGCACTAATCCAGATCAGAGGAGAGCTCCAAAAGGCTTTATGTTTAGGCTAAAAACACTCAGATATGTCACACATCAAACAGCTTTGTGGAGGATTAAAAGCACTGGCTGAACACGCTCGCTTTTCTTAAAGGAACAGCGTTCTCTCTTGGGTCCGTGGATAATTGAGGAAAATGAGGACAATCCCAGGGCTCCCTGACATATTTTATCTGTATCTGTAAAAATCTGCATTTCTGCACCTCTGAGCCGGATTCTGCCAGCTGCTAGCTCTTTTTGTCCTCGGTCCTGTTTCCTTTCCATGGTTTCTGTCTGAAGCATAAATTCTCTGTTTCCTCGGCTCAAAGTCAAGATTTTGTATTTCCCCGCAGGTCCCTCCCCCGAAACCATCCACCAGTCATCCCTCCATCATCCATTCATTCTACATCAAACATCCATCCCTCATTCATACTTTGATCCATCCATCTACTGACCATCATCCATCTATATCTGACTGATTAAAACTCATTATTCTGTACGGTTACCTCTCCTGGAAAAGCTCCCTTTCTGTCGATATTTAATTAAACTAATAACACGCATCATATAATTCTGCCCTGAGGAGCACACGCTGGCGTCACTTCACAGTCCAATAGTTTCCACTGGTAAACATGACTCATGGAGGAGACTCAAACACACACTGGAGCAGAGATAATGAGCACTAACTGGATGGCCAGCAGCTCCGTCTTCTCATCTGGATCCTCGGAGTGATCTCCTGCTGGAACACAGACAGGGGGCAATTGTGGGTGACTGCTTTTTGGCACGTCTCCTCAGCGCCTGCTCGCTCTGAAGGCGACTCACGTCCGCTGATCTTGGCGCTGACCCTTTGGGCCAGGGCGCCGCTCTGGGCCAGCTGCTCCCGGAAGCCCTGGCCCATGTAGTAGTCGATGTCGTTGGCCCGGAGGAGCTCCTCGAAGGCCTTGGTGGTGTCGCCCAGGTGCTGGGTGAGGATGCTGCACACGCCCCGCCCCTCGCGCAGCCGCTGGCGCAGGTGGGACAGCTCTCTGGCCTGGGACTGGATCAGACCGTCAAATTTACTGGGGAAGGAAAAACAAGAGCGAGAGGGGTTTTGGTGGCGTCTGAAAGCTGGGACGGTTTCCACCGCAGCAGCACAGATTTATTCTCCTCAGGCACTCGGGACAACGTGCTCCCGGCCTCGTGCCGGCTAATCCCCCAGAGAACATGGCCGCTCACGCCCGGTGGAGCGGAGAGGCTGACAGAGACTGACAGGCTGCTTAATGGCCGCAGTGATTAATGGATGGCTGTGCTGTGAGCAGAACGCAGCCCGGGACGCTCCGGGCCACGGCGTCATGGCTCTGATTGCATCTCACATTATCTCACTCAAGAATTTCCAATGAACACACATCTTTAGTTCTCCTTTATACAGACTACTTAGACTTTCATTAGGCTTCTGGTAAAAGTTTGGTGGTTGGTTGAAAAAAAATAAAAAATAAAATAAACCTTTAAATCGGCTTAGAATTAGTTTTAGAGATTATTTGGCTTTAATTCAGACATTTTTTTTTTAGATTTATAGAAAAATGATATTCGAGTTGAAGGTATATTTTAAATTACCTGATTCTTCTATGCTCATGTCATGTGTAAGAATCATTCTTTTATCCATTTTGTTCATACAGCTAATGTCAATAAACATTTATGGGAAACACACTAGTGATGGTTTTGAAGTCAAGTTAAACTCACAAATTAGCACAGAAATTACCCCAAAAGCCACAATAAGGCGCTAGCTGCTACCCATTGTGGTCACTGCCCCTGAATAATCCACTAAGAACTCTCCAAATTGGCTCATTTTGAGTTTGTCCCTTCAGAAAAACAAATCTGGTTTGGTCTGCTGTTCTGTTCTGGACAGGAATCAGAACTTTTTGTTGGCATATTAATGACAGTAATTATTCACATTTCAAATTATCAGAACATAAAACTACAACATGTGGTCCTCAGCAAGTGTGAGGATTAAATCGATCCAGTCTCAGATTAAGAGAAACTCATCATTGTCTTATTATTTATGGAAAAGAAAAGAAAAACAAAGAGTGTCAGCAGCATCCAATAGCTGCTGATCAGTGTTCTCATTACTGATCCTCAGTGAGTGTGAGCAGCTCTGTAAAAGCAGAGCTTTGGAGCACTAAGGTGTGCGGGAAAGACAAAGAGCAGAGCAAAGTTTCACAGCTTCATCTCACTTTCTGTTCCATAAATAAAGAGCCGGCGTGAGGATGCACTACTCTCTGTTTCCTGACTCACCCTGGCCAAGCTGCTGACTTTCCATCCTCTTCAGAAGTCTTTCCACCTCTCCTCAGCTGGTTCTCCAGCGCGTCCACCCGGGACGAGAGCTCCCGGAGGCCCCTGTCCGGGTGGGGGTGACGGGGGGAGGCCAGCGCGCCTCCGTCGGACGACTGCCAGCCCTCGTCCTCCTCCGTCCCGCTCTGGGAGGGCGAGGCCTGGAAGGACCAGTTGACTTTGCGTGGGGTGGGGGGCCTGCAGTCGCTGGAGGTGGACAGGGAGCGCAGGCGGCTCTGCAGGCCGCGGATGACCCCCTGAGAGCGGGACAGCTGCGAGCGCAGGTCCTCCACCAGCCGCTGGAGGGACGAGGCCTCGTCCCCGGGGCCCTGGACGCCGGGGCCCTGACCGCCGGGGCCCCGGCCGCCACCCCTGCCGCCAGCAGGCCACCACTGAGAGCCACAGTCCAGGGACGTGCACATCTCCAGGTCATCGAACTCTGGGAGCCAGCAGACGTCAGAGTGGGTCAGATTCTTAGTGGCCATGTAACAACGAGCACATGTTGTGCGTCTGTCCAAGTTGTGTCAGTTTGCTAAGCTTAGCAAGTAAAAGCAGACAAAATCTGTTTCTGTCTGTTCAGAAATGTCTGAAGAGGCACACCTGACCTAGAAGACCTGCTCTGCCAAACGCTTTGGTATAGACTCCATGTACCTGCATCCAAAGGGAGCGCTGCTGCCCTCTGGTGGGGAAACCCCTCTACTGTTTCCCTGTCTCATTTCAGTCCATTTGCCCAATATTTTTAAAGAATGTCTTTTTCCTATTTCAAAGAGTCTTTCAATTAATCCTACAGAGAGGGTACTCTTTCACCTTTCCTTTTGTTAACCTGCTTGCAAATATCATAATAATCAATTTAATAAGTTCTTTGACTTTGATTTAATTTCTAATAAGTCAATAGGACTAAACATAATCTTGAGTATTAATGGTAAAAATGTAATCCTTTTTTTTGCTTTACTATTGTAGCACTTTAAATCAAATACATTTTTTCTGATAATCTGAACCAACTGGAACATAGTTGGGGGGTGTCTGTTTAGCAAAAAATAACTTTACCATTAATTCTCTGATAAAAAAAATAATCGTAATCTGCACAGACTCCAAGAAAAATATGTAAATTTAAATTCCAAATTATTTCAATTAAATGAATGAATGAGTGCTTTCTTCACATTTTCCACTCTTTAAAATAATTAAAATTCCCCTCTTAGTTATAGATACTGGAACAATTCCCGTTGTTCCTTTAACTTCCCTAACTGAAAACCCTTCAGAGAGCGCTCATACGTACCGGGGCTGCTGGCGTCCTCCCGCTCGGCCTCGTTCTCGCTCCGTCCGCAGGTCTCGTAGCCCATGTCCTGCAGGTCCACCTGGATCTGCTTACTGTCCTGCCGCACGGCTGTTTCAGCTGCACAGTTGAGCCAAAAAGTGTTCAAGAACCTCACGAACCCACCAGAGTTCTTCACGGTCTGACTGTCTGAAAAATTTCTTCTGAATCTATTGATCAGAAAATGCATGCCATTTGGCTCAAAGTGGTGAACCAACCCCATCATGGTTGGGGGAGACTAAACCTGGTGAAAGGTACTTTTATACTCAATCATTTGATTCTAAATTGATTAAAGTAATCAGAAAAGACTATTCAAATAAATCATTGAGCTAACCCCTGGATAAAAAGTCTCAGTTCTTCTCTAAATCAGACCTGAAGGCGTCCACACTTCAAATGTAAAAGATCCCTATATAAACTTGAAGTGTCTTTCTGTCTTTCAGGGACTCAGAACATCTTTTAGAGTGTGTGAGCTGCTTCTAGCTTCACATCTGGTTCTAAATCTGATGCAACTGGTCAGAAAATTATTTTTCTGCACCCCCATCGGCCTGCAGGTGACCTGGATGTGTGTCCGAGGTGTCCACTCACTCAGGAGCTCTCGGTAGTCTTTGAGCTGCTCGGCCTGAGCCTGCACCGTGGCCTCGGACACCATCAGCCTCTCCTGCAGCTCTTTGCTCTCCTGCTGCAGATGCACCGTCTTCTCGCTCTTCTGGGAGGGTGTGGCGTCCTTCGGCCGGCCGGCCGGCGGCTCGTCCTGCTGGAAAAAGGCGGGAGCATCAAACCCTCTGAATTCTAAAGCATTCCTCCGGCCAAAGAGAAAAAAAGGCCGCACCTGTGGCTTAGTCCTGCTGGTCTGAGCCAGCTCTCCATCCCAGGCGTCCCACAGTTCAGAGATCTCCTCCTCCTCTTCTTCCTCCTCCTCCTCCTCCTCTATGGTCACCTCCAGCTCCTCCTCCTCCTCCTCCTGCTGCCTCCGGTCAGCCAGCTGATGCTTTAAGTCTTTATTCTCTGCTTGCAGGCTGAACAGAGCCTTCCTGTAATCACACCACAGGCTGTTTTAGGACGAGGTCTTGAATTCAGTAAAAGAGTCTTTTGGGCTTCAAGGGAATTATTCACTCAGCAAGAGGAAAATGTGTGAGATTCTAAATCTTTAACAACGTGTGTTTCACAGATTTCTGGGGCCTGCTGCATCATCCTGTGGCTAAACTGTGTTTCAAATACCAGTTAAAAAAAATTTTTAGTTTATAGGAAGAAAATAGAACAATCGCTGTACTTTACACAGACGTATTTAGTTTTTGTATAAATAAGAAACTTGAAATGAATAATTTAGCACTTTCTGACAGCTCTAAAGCCAACATTTCCTTACTTCAATAAATGTGATCCAGTGGGATTATCTGACTGATCATTTCACTTAAGTACAAAAATTCTGGTTTTGTTCTCTTTAAATTACAGTCCGTCTTTCCATGAGTAAAGAACTGAACCAGCTGTGGAACAGACCTCATCTGGGACAGCGAGGAGAAGCCAGCCCTCTCCAGCTGCCCCTTCAGCTCCCCCAGCTCCCGCTCCACCACCTCCTTCTGCCCCACCAGCTGTTTGACCACCATCAGGCTCTGGCCGTCCAGCTGCAGGTCCTGGGAGGCCGCAGGAGCTCCACGCCGCTGAGCGGACACAGAAAAACGACTGACTAACATCTCCAAACAACCGTAAAATCCGAACTATACACCACCATCGGATTTCAGGCCTGTAGCACGTTCCCTCTGAGAGAGGGTGTGTGTCTTTAATTCTGCGTTTTACTCATTCAAAATGGAGGCCGGTGGTCGTTTTCTACCTGGACGCTGGACTCTTCTTCACCAACGCTTTCGGTGTACTCGCTGTTCAGGTCCTCGTCTGCTTCCTCCTCAGAGCTCAGTTCTGTATGAAGCAGGGACACAGAGCCGGTGTTAGAAAAGCCCTTCACACCTTTACACTTCAGCCGGCTGTCCAGCAAGTTTGAGCGGAAAAAAAACATCTGTCTGTGTGGAGAAACGTGTCTGAGCAGGGAAACATCTGTTTGTTCACTTCAGCACTTTGTAATAAAGGTTTTGTGGAGTTTTATGAAGCCTAAATGTGTTTTTTTCTGTAACTTTAAAGCAGAGTCTGAAGAATTCAGATTCATATGTGAAAGGTATTTTATTTATAAAAATAAACATTTATCAGTTTATGTGTCAATTTGTGATAAAAGTTGATTAATAAAAGGAATGAATAAGTACCATTGGGGCTTTATGAATCAGAAATGTGTCTAACATGTGGGTAAATGGGGTTAATTTTCTTTTATCAGTGCAAATAAAATTCTTAATTCTTGCCGTCATTAATAAAATGTGTCTTTTGGAAGACTACTGATTATTTATGCAGATTCTCAGTCATCCAGGTTGCAGTAACCCTGCTGTGCCCTGTACTGAGGATGATCTATGAACATACTTCTGCTGTCAAACTTTGATTTCAGGTAAACCTGAAATACTCTTTGTGGTGGGAATCAAATGTGTGAGTGTAAATGAATGATCTTGTAGGTGTGTTTGGGTGTTGTTCTGGTGATTCAGTGTATATTTTAGTAATTGTGCTTTGGTTACTGTTTCGGGGAGGAGAAAACACAAACAATGGGGAATTTCTGAGGCCACAAACACATTATTCAAGCAATATAAGTTTATTTTTTATTATGAACTGCTCCACTGAAACGTGAACGGCCTCTAAGGACAAAGAAAGCACTCGCACGTCCCGTGCCACATGTTTCCAGCCCCAAAGTCCTCAAACCAGGTTTCAGAAAGCAAACACACACTCTGCAAACTAAATACACACAATCAGAACCACAAAAGCAGACATTTTGTACAGATTTTTCAGGCAGTGTGAGAAACATGATCATGTGAGGAAACCTTCATGCATCGTAGTGCACATTTTTTTCCATTTAGACAAACTTTTCCCTCCTTCTGAACAACAGGTTGGCTTTAAGGAAACATTTTCTCAAAAGAAAGTTTCTCTCTTCCTAAATTTTGGATTTCAGCTTCGATTTTTCTGATTAACAGGCCTGACTTTTCTCCTTTTAAGTAAATTAGTACTATGAACTTAAAATATCAATATTATATGTTCTCAAATTATGTCAGAAAGTGTTACATTTAAAATGTGATGCTACAAAAAAGTTGAAAAAAACTAGGGTGAAGAAATTAAACTTTCCAACTTTTTTAAACAGAAAGCAGTCGAGGTAAGTCACAAAAACTGCATTTAAATAAATAAAAAAACATAGAAGAATTATTTTTTGGGACATTCCCAGACTGGTTTTCTTTGATTTCTTTAAATAAGGGCTAAAATAAGGAATAAAATATGTTTTATTTACAGGTACAGTAAATACAAATTGTGTTTCAGCTCAGTGTGGGATGTGATTAGAACCTAGTTAGTAGTTTCCTTTGGTTTAAATGACTCAAGAGACTATCGGAAACTCCAAAAATGCAGTTTTTTCTTTTCGAAACAAAACTTTGGACTTTAAAAGTCTTAAAGAAGACATAAGAAGTAAAGAATCTGCCAAAAGTGGATGAAGGACAAAGTCAGTTTGGCTAATTTCAGGCTGCTGGTGTCATCCCACCTCCGGCCCATAGCATGGAAACTTCCTAAAATCCTTTTCAGTTTCTAAAAATAATTGTCATTCTCATCTGTGAGAAATAGTAAAAACAGTTGCAAAGCAACTGTAAAACCTAGACAGATGTCAAATACAGATTAAGAAACTTGGTTAAATTATCAGTTGTTTTTTTTTTGCTTTAAATCTGTTTCTTAACGTGCATTTCCACTTCTTGGATTGTGATTTATACTCACAGGAATCTTACGAGCAGGAGATGAAAAATCTTTGTTTTATGGGGCTTTTAAAGGCAGGATAACATTGCTTATAGCTTTTGTGACCAGATGTTTGAGTTTCTAAGGGTTGAATAGTCTTAATAAGTCTTAAGAGGCACGAACGTGTCTGTTATTGGTGTTAGGCGCTGAGCAGAGCCACAATTTGTTAGTATGTTCATGGTAAATCAGAGCAAAAAGCCCAGCTCATGCAGCTGGGACCAGTCTCCCTGGTGCTGGTGTTAGAGATACTGCCCCATGCTTCTCTGATGCCCACCTCCAAACTCAGGCAGCCTAAAGTTGGGGCCTCTAGCTGCAGGAGCGTCCTGCTGAACCAGGCGCTCCCTCAGCTCCTGGACCTCCTGGGTCAGTCGCTCAACCAGAGGAAGTTCTAATGGACCCACCAACTGGCTCTGGAGCTCCTGCAGCAGAAGACAGTGACACCGTAAAACACAAAGCCTCCGTTTTATGGGAGGAAATAGCCACAGAGGATGTGAAATGAAGCTGCAAGAATAGCTGCTTTTCAGCCAGTTGAAAGGAAAGATGTAGAGAGAATATCGACTCAAGATGGTTACAAGATGGTTACACCCATTTTTTGTGAAACTTTGAGTGATCTAAACACCTAAAATGAATCAGAACTGCTTAAACATTAACATCTGACGCAAATTTCAAACTCCAACCCCACAGAGGAGCTCCTTTCCTGACAACAAAGGCTCCTCAAATTGTAGTTTTACACACAAGCGGTGCGTTTGTGTACTGATGGAAAGCTGGGAAATCTCGGTTTTCATAAAGTCAAGTGCTATTTGTATCATAAGTGGGGGTTCAAGCCAAACTGAGTGGGTATTCTCTCTCCATACATGGCGGCCATTTTGACTCATTCTAATCGATCTTCATATATTTCCTGACCCTGACGGTCTCCTCCTTCACACGCAGACTCCTGCTGAGGGAGTCCAGCCGGGCGGCCTGACCCCTGCTCAGCTCCTGGCTCTCCTTCTCCCTCCTGAAGGCCAGACGCAGTTCCTCCTGCACCGCTTGGAGCTCCAAGCTCAGGTCCGGTCCCGGGTCGGGCCTGGCTCCAAAGCCTGAGCTCATCTGCGTGCGAAGCTCCTGGAGCCTGGCCGCCTGCTCCGTGATGACCTCACTGAGCTGGCTCGCCGAGTCCTGCAGGGAGAAGGGCGAAGGCGTCCGTTACACAACCTCCTCAGCTCCACACACGCTGGTGTCTTATAAACCTTCCCAAAGTTCTCGCAGTGGGTCCGAAACTGACTGAAACCATGAACCAACATGTGGACATTATCTGTGCAAAGTTACAGAAGTTTCTGTACAGCTGGAGCTCTGTGATTGGCTCTTTGACACGTTATGGCTCCACATGGAAAAGTAGAGATTTCTGAGCTGTTTAAACACACAAATGATTTTCAATAATTTTCTAAAGGATTCCCCATACATATATTTAATTACATTATGTATGTATGAGACATTTAAATGCCTCATACATGGTATCCTCTCCTTTCTCAGGTCACATGGGACATGCTGTGATTCCATTGGCCCATTAGTATGACTGAGCCCTGGATGCTTTCATCCAATAGGAGTCTGGTAACTGTAGAAATGCTTTTTAGGAGCTTTGAGTCAGACCTTCCTGTGCTAAATATGTCCATCATTAGTACAGTTCTCCTCCCCACCTTAATGTACTGGTCTCTGGATCGGATGGTTCGGAGCAGATCCTGGACCTGCTCCTGATGCTCCCGGGCCTGATGGGTTCGGTCTGCCAGCACTTCCTGGAAGAGGCGGTCCTTCAGCTGGAGGCGGACCTTCAGCTCCTCCAGAACCTCGTTTGGAGCACAGTGGACCCGAGCCAGCAGGGAGCAGCGCAGGTCCTACAGAACACAGATGGACACGGCTCACTTTGAGCTTTTGAAGTCAAAGCGAGTTGGATCAGAACTCCGAAATCAGGGTTGGCTGATGTTTCCACTGACATGTGTGATGGAAATGCAGAAATTTGGTTTGAGATCCGTGTTTTGTCCTAAATGTTTAATATCAGACTTCCTGGTCATATTTAAGCCAAAGGAGTTTCCTTCCTATCTCACAAACCCAGAATTTCATTGGTTAGAGCTCCTCAACCAGAGATCTAGGACTCTGGTCCTCTTTGGGCCGCTGCCCTGACGGTTTTAGATGTTTCCTTAGATGTTTTCAAAATGCCTGATCTAGACTAAATAGATATTAAGTTCTCCACAGTCTGTCAGTAGTGCACTGATGGGAATCAGGTGGGTTCTAAATCAGTGTAAACCCTTTTTGAGATCCCTGTTCTAACCTATTCGGAACTATACAGAAACTAAACCCTATCCGTGGGTACCTGGGCCTCCTGCGTGCGGGCGGTCAGCGCCGCCTGCAGCTGCTCCGTGACGTTTTCCCGGTCCCTCAGCAGGCGGGCCTGCCGCTCCTCTCCGGCCTGCTGCTGCTGCTGGAGGCTCCTCCAGGCGTCGCACGCCTGCCCCAGCTCCAGACTCTTCCCCCTCACCAGCAGCTCCAGGCTCTGCCCACACAGACGGCCAGACGGTCAGAGGCCGCTCCGCCCCGGAGGGGAGCGGCCTCTGACCGAGCGTGGCCTCACCGCGATGGTCTCCTGGTTGTGGGCCAGCACGCAGCGCTGCCTCTCCAGGTCCCGCTCCTTCTCCCGCAGCAGCAGCTGCAGACGGTGGGAGTCCTCCTCCTTCTCCTCCACCCAGCGGAACTTCTCGTCCACCGCTCGCTGCAGGACAGCCAGAGCGAGAGCCGGTCAGAGTCGGTCACCCCTAAACTCTGACAGGCCGCCTAAGCAGCCCCTGCACACGCCTTCAAAACCTGCTGAGCTCTACAAAGTTGTCACAGCTTCTCCTCCGGCCCAGTTGGGACTAAGAGAACAAGGATTTTTAGTTTCTCTGAAAACTTAGAGGAAAAAAATTGTTTAAAACTAAAATAATGAGTTATCTGTTTGGTAGATTACAAAGTAAAACAGCTACATTGTACTTTTGACACTTAATAACCTGAAAAAAGATCTGAGTCTCTGATTTATAGATTTCTACCATCTATTTTATCTTTGTTGTGTTGTTTTGACGAGTTTTTTGTCAGTAATTTTTGTCTTTTTGTCATGTTTTCTTAACTTATGTTTTCCAGCCCAGATGATCAGTTCTGCCCTTTGGTGGAATCCTTTGGTAAGTCACAGGATATGTCTGAACAGGTTCTCCAGTAAATTTGTTATTAATAAAAGCATATTCTTGGCCTTTTTTTTTTTTACCTCCAAAGCTCTGTCCCTTTCTTTTATTCGCTGCCGGAGTTTCTGAAGCATAGAATCTGTCTTCTCCTTTGGGTCCTCCAACATCTCAAAGTAGTCCTGAAAGATGGAAGAACAGCTAAACGGGAACTGTGTGCTGTTTGTGGACAGAGCAAAGCTCAGCTGGGGAAACTCCAGAGAGCTTGTCCTGTTGGTTTTTGGGCCTGACCTCCAGGAGCTGCTCTTTGGTCAGCAGGGAGGCCCTCAGCTCTCCGATGCTCCTCTCTTTCTCCTCCTTCTCCCTCTGCCGCTCATGCTCTCTCTCTCCCAGCAGCTCTTCTCTCTGCTGCAGAGCTGACCGGGCTTCCTGCAGAGCCAGCTGCAGCTCCTGGACGGCCCAGATTCAACAAACACATCAGAAACAAACAGATGGTGGCTGAAAACTTGAAAACGCACCACAAAAATCTGCAGCAAAGATTAGTTTTTCAATTTTCTGTGTTATGGTTTAAGTGGCAGATTCAAATCACCCCTTACTTTAGGAGAAAAAGGAGAATTTAGGAGAAAACATAGGAGAAAAAGCTAAAAAGTAAAAGAATAAGAGTTTACTTTGGAGTGATTTCACATCAAATGACAAAAGGTTAAATAATGTAAGGTGAATATTCCTCCTCCATTGTATCTAAAGGTATTTTAACAGCTGAATATTTTGTGGAGAAAGCCCTAAATCTTAGACTAACAGACCATAAAAGAGACAAAAGAAGAGATAAAGTGAGGGAAAGTCCAACGTAATGATTCTGTCTGAGCGGTGAGGCTCCAAAGATAAAGAGTGGGGAACCATTTAGCAGTTCATCTGCCAATTTAGTGTAAATATGAGGTTTAATCAGGTCAGGGAGTCCTGCTCACCTGGTTGTGTCTCTCCGTCTCCCTCCGGTGCTGCAGCGCTCCCTGCAGGGCGGTCTCCAGCCGCTCCAGGGCCCGGTTCTGGTCCTCCTGGACCCGGGCTGCATGCTGCTGGGCCCGCTGGCCGGCCTCCAGCTCCAGCTGGGCCTGGAACAGAGAGGCCTGCAGAGCCAGAACCTGACTCTGGAGGGCCTCGGCCCCGGAGCCCTGGCAGGGAGGAGGGAGGGGGGCTCTTACTTTAGATGGCTGCCCTCACACTCAGTGTGCATTTTCTTTAAAGGCACGGCGGACAAACCTGCAGCTGCTGCATCTGGCTGTGGTTGGCCAGCTCTTTGAGGGAGCACAGCATCTTATTCTGCTCCTCAATCACCCTGCAAAACTCCGCCGTCTGCACAAAACACCAGAGGGACGACGCTGTTGACCCATTTTCAGCTTCCTTCCACCTTTAACTGCCTAAAGATCCTGCGACTTTCTCCTAAAACTGCCGAAAACCTGCAGCCAACTGAGGTGATTGTGTCAAATCTGGACATCTGAGGCGGATCTCTGCAGCTCTGACCTCTGCCTCCCTGGAGTTGAGGGTGTCACTGAGGTTCTGGACGTTCCGATCCTGCTGCTGGGCTTCCTCGCGGGCCGAGCGCAGCTCCAGCTCCATCTCAGCCAGGTGTCCCTGCAGCTTCTGCACGGCAGCAGAGAAAGACAAACCCTTAATTCACCGGTGCCCCGGCGGGCGCTCGGACGTTGGGCCGGGGGCCGGGGCCCGGCTGTACCTGGTTCCTGGACTCGCTGGCTCTGATCTTGGCCTGCAGGGAGCGGACCTGCTGCTGGGCCTTCTGCAGCTCGGCCACACACTGAGCGGCGGCGCCCTCGTACTCACTGAGCTGACCCTGCTGCTGGTCAATCAGCCTCTGAAAGACACCAGGCGCCCCATCAGCAGAGGGAAGAAAGCTCCGTCAGCAGCTCTGAAGTCACTTTAACAAACCCAGTGAAAACAGAAACCCTGCTTCACCGGAGAAAAAAAAAGTGTTTATATGCTTTTTTTTATTTTTTTTAAGTAAAACAATGCTAATCACACTTGACTGTCGCTATTAGCTCAGCATGTACTTTAACTAGTAGATTGTGCTAGATGTGAAATCAGTTTGACCCCATCTTACATTTTCTTACATTTTCATGTATGCATTTAGTAAGCGATTTACAAAGTAGAATATATATATATGTATATCTCCCCATCGGGGAATGGAACCCCTGTTTCCCATGTGACAAAGCGACTTATAAAAAGAGGGTTTAACATTCAACTATGACACCAGTTTCACACTTAGTTTGCCTTGAGTGCAATATGCTAGAAGCGGATTTAACATTAAGGATTTAACATTCAGCTATGACATAGACTAAATGTCAAAATGTCCTAGTCTGAGGTGTTTATTCCTCTGACTGTACCTCCTGGTGCTGTACAGCCCCAAACAGGTGCATACAACCACTGAACAGAGCAGCTTTGTCTCCGTTTGCTCAAAGGACCACATTCAGGCCGGTGATTAGCATAACAATAGCAGTTATGAAGACCCACCGACGAACTGCCACAGCACTTAGGAGACTGTTGCCACAGCAACCAAAGGGTTGCTAGGATACAGATGAAGAGGGGTATCAATGCTCCCTCTCAGGGGGCTACAAAGCAGAGGGTGTGCCTGAATTTCTCAGCCTGACAGAGACCCTCATCTAACTTGTGTGTGCACAATCAATTTGTGCACATTTCTAACCGATTTGACCGCTTCAAATTCCAACAATTTTCACTAAAATCCCCCGTAAAAAGGTGCATAACAGGAGCATTTTTGTTGGAGTTGTATCTGTTCTTGGAATACTGCGAGGCTCCATAAGAGAGTTTAATCATTTTCTGTGTTGGACTGCTTTGACATCAGTGTTTACTGTGTCTGCAGCTTTGATTGGATCCTGAAATGGTTTAGCTTTAAACACGGTGTAACATTCAGAGACTGCAAATAAAACAAGGTTTGCTGACTCTTATAGAACGAGGATGACCCGAATCACCAAACTGGTTCATACAAGGCAAAAAACCCCAGTTAGGGGCCTGGACGTGGTGCTAAACAGGGTTAGGGCTACACCCCCCCACAGGGTGGGGCTCCAGGTGCTCCTGACCTGCTGGAAGCGGAATGGCCCACACTGGACGTAATCGTCCAGCCACTGCTCCTCCATCTCTGCCAGCTCGGCCTGCAGCTCCTGCTGGGGGCAGCCGACCACCACCTCCGGGATGGTGTGGTGGGGGTACAGCTCGTAGTCTGGGGGCCCTCCGCAAGGCGACCTCTCTGGGACGGAGGGGTGAAGGCACAGGCCGTGCTCCAACTTGGTTTTGACCAGAACCGGGAGCCTGCTGCCCCTGTGGGGCCTGACCGGCCGGTACTCCCAGCCCCGCACCAGGCTCAGCATCACCTCCAGCCCACCCGGGGGGCCCTCACTCAGAAGGGGCCCCCTGCCCTCTTGAGCCGGGGGCACTGCGTCCTCCCCGCCTTTGTGGTCGGCAGGGCTGCAGCCAGCGTCCACTGTGGTGTCCAGGGACTCCACCGACGAGGCGGGGCTGGGGCTGCTCTGGTCACAGAGGGTCTTATCCTCCTCCATCCCGGCCGGGGGCGACTGGCAGGGGCCGGCCGAGGCCTCGGAGGCTCTGGCCGGGTCCTCCACGTTCAGAGTGGCTGTTGAGTAGCGGGTGGACGGCCCGCAGGACGTGCTGCGGCGCCCGGCTCTCCGGGGAACCTTGCACACCGCCTCGTAGTCGGAGTCGGCCACCCGCAGCGCGGCGCAGCCCCGGCAGCGCCTGGGCCTCAGGCCGGACTCCCCCGAGCACTGGTGGAGCAGGGGCTCCACGGGGGGGTCCTCCTTCTCCGCCCACGACTCGTACACGGAGTAGGCCAGGTCGTCCTGGATCAGGTCCGAGTACCGGGCGTCCTGCAGGGCCGACAGGTCCACCACCACGGGGGGGTCTTCGGGGAGGGGGGTGGCTTCGGGGGGGGCCGCCCCGCAGCTCTGGGGGTTGTTCCTGCGGTAGAGGCCCCCGATGCAGTGGCGGAGGCGCTCCTTCTCCAGCAGCAGCTTGTGCAGGCGCTCCAGGGACAGCGCCTCCACGCGCGCCACCACCGTGTCGAAGCGGTACATGCGCTCCAGCATGAAGGAGCACTTGGAGCAGGCGAACTCCCCGCGGCCGTCCCGGGTCAGCTCCTGGCCCAGGGCGTGGGACAGCAGCACCTGGAGGTTGAGCTTGGCCCCCGGGTGGAAGATCCAGCGCCGCTGGTTCCCGCAGAGCTCACGGGCGCAGATCCTGCAGGCCTCCTTCATCCTAACCGCATCCAGCATCCCCGCGGGGCCAGGTCCAGGGCAGGGGCCAAGGCAGGGTCCAGGCTCTGAGACAGGGCAGGGTCCAGGTCAGGGTCCAGGGCGGGGTCCAGGTCAGGGTCCAGGCCGCTCAGCTTCCAGCTGTCACAAATCTCACCTGCTCTCTGAGATGCTCAACATTCCGCTCTAAAACTGGTGGATTTCTTGTCTCCATGCATCATCCCTGAAAGGATGACGTCATGGGGGCCATCAGGACTGAAGCGGGTTGATCGAGCAGAGGCAGGTCTCTGGATGATGGCAGCAGGTCTCTGGATGATGGCTGCAGGTCTCTGGATGATGGCTGCAGGTCTCTGGATGATGGCTGCAG